TTGAAAACAGTCTATTTGCCCCCAGTGCACGAGTTCAAGAGGCATTGGGTGTTAAACCATTTCTCAAACGGATTTTTTTGATCAATTTTCCTTAGCATTTCCCCCCCAATGGCTCAATGCTTATTAGAAATAATGTTCTTATAATCAAGGTTTAATGGCAAAATTAATCCAGTAATTGTAGCTCCAACGTTTGTCCAGGATATTGGCCTATATATAGGCATGCATGCGGACAGAATCATTTACCTGCCTCTTGAGTTTTTGAGGTTCTTCTTTCCTCCTCTGACTGTGTTCTAGTTTGCTTGAGTTTGCTAGTGTTTGTTGTTCTGTTGCCTTGCATTTGCAATACATGCTCGTTTAATCCTGGGGAACTACCATTCCACCATACTAGTGGGCTAGAATAGTTCTTAGGACAGTGTCTTCCAGCACGACTCAAGCAGCTCTCGGTTTCCTACTTGCAGCTAACAATCTTAAGAACTGTATGGCATCCAATGCTAAGAATGTTGTCCCTGAGGACGTGTCTGGTGGTTCTAGTGGAGATGGTTCATCCCTGTTGTTGTTCTTGTCCTCCTGTTGAGGCCATTCTTGAATATATTGAAGATAGAGGTCTTTGATGGTAAGAATTTCAAACGTTGGCAAGAATAAATCTTCACCATTCTTCATATGCATGGTATAGCTATTGCTTTTGCTCAACTCGAGCCTACTATTGACGCTGACCAAGCCCAAAAGGTACAGGGACTCATGCAAACAAGGTATGTCGACACACTATCATTAGTACTTTATCTAATAATTTTTTGATGTATATCGCATCTATAAAATCTCACTCCACTAAATGCAATTAACTATTAAAACTCATGGTAACAAAAAGATCAACACATAAAAATAATTACCAAGTTTTAGTCTAAATTGAAGGGATTCCAAGTTTTCTAAATAACAATGAATTTAAATCAATCAAAATCCTTTATATCAGAGTAAAAACAAGTTTTGAAAGCATTGGATACCTTAGAGGAGTGAAAGAATTCAAAAATGATTGAAAAACAAAACATGTGCTGTGATACAGGGCAATGCGTTATGGTGTGTTGTTCTCAGTGCCACGCGCTGTGACTCAGGCACCATGTGTTGTAGCATTGTGCACGTAAAAATTAGTAATTTTTGCTATCATTTGATATTAGAATCAAAAAACTTTTGAAGTATCCTGATTCTTTGTTCGATATTTGAATGATGTGATTTAAATGTCTATAGAAAGCTTTTTACATGAACTAACTAATGACATTAATTTCACTTTCAAAACAAGTCACATCAGGAAGTTGAACACCTAAACACATTTTAACCACTTTTCACAACTTTCACACAAAAAGGTGCCCAAAACCCACAACAAGTGCTGAAGGCCTTTCCTAACACCTGAACCATGTCTATTGGACCTAGAACTATCAATATAACACATCACACTCACTTAAACAATAGTATAACATGATATCACTTCTCAAACCCTTTTTACCAAAACTAAAGGAGGAGGTAAATTTCTATTGCATTGTGCTAAAACCAATCAAAACATGTTCAAATCATCATTTCTATACTTGCACTATTATTTTGGCTCTATTAATATATATATATATATATATATCTCAACATATACAAATACTCATGACCTAAAATATAAATCAGACATTTGCAACAATAAAATAATGCAAGTGTGATGGCATACAACCTAAAATTGGCATTCAAACTCTATTACACAAAATAATTCTAAGCTAGAGGCATACAATAAGAATGTGTTAACTCTTAGTCTCCTGAGCCTTCTCCCTTTCTGCACCAGAGCTAGAGCCTAAAATGTGTTAAATGAAAGGAGTGAGTCTAGCCACTCAGTAACTAAGGTGAAAACCTACCCTATTCAGTTATATATCAATTATAAAACAAGCACATGCATATGAAATCAAGTACTTAAAACATACTTACACATATCATCACTCATCATTTTTCATTTAATAACTTCTTTATCTCACATATGCTAAGTGCATTGTCACCATATTCTCAGATATGTGACATAATCCCTTATTCACATGACTTACCACAACTCAACACGTGTGACACGTCATATATTTATATAGATAATGATCAACCAACCTTATAACCTCCTTATTTTTTCAGACTGAAACCATGAGCTATAACATCGAATAGGGCTTTGTTCGTGTGACTGGACTACCTAAGCTCACCAATCGTGAGGTGTGACCGAACCAAAGATCATATTACTCACTCTTGGACCATGGCTTTCCCCCATTCTCAAATCTCTAGGATGTCTCATACCCTAAGCTATTCTCCTCATTAAACTCGTAGAGAAAGCTAGGTTCTAGTCCCTCAAAAAATTATGAGAAAGTCCCTCAACAAACTGTGAGACAAGGTTATACTCCCGTGCACCAGAGGGTAGCCTAAATACTATATGAATTTTTCTCTACTCCTAATCTCTAGGTGAACTCTCTCCTACTGATCATGCCATAAACATACTGACTCATCTCCCATTTTCATTTATTGTTTAACACATTCTGACGTTGGGTTTACGATCATACGCTACCCAAGTGAGTATAAATTCTCATTTTCAATTATCACACATCAACATACCTTTTTCAATCACACTTACTCATCTTCATCAAACCATTATCAACCGTTCATTTAAAGCACATCATAAACATGCAACTCATATCAATTGTCACTTTTGCAAATTTAAAACTCATTTGAAATTTCTTTAGCATGCTTGACACTCATCAAAGTAATTTGATAAATATGAGGTTTTCATTACATGATGCACTCATTCACAAGTCAAAAATTTCATTTTAAATACATAATTAGCATCCACATTACAATTAACACATAACTATCCAAAGTAGGGTTCCCCCAGTTATCTCAAACTTTTAAGAGGTCAAGGGTTTACTCCTCAGTCAACTAGCTTCCAAATACTTGAATTTCTAAGCCAAATGGTTGTCCAAGAGTTCAATCTACAATTTACCAAAAAGGGTGCTTCGATCATCTAGTTCTGTGGTGTAGAATATGTATCCATTGATTACATAGCTATTATAAGAAATAACTTGTATGTTTGGACTTTTAGCCAACCATTTTACTCTTTAGAAATAGAATTATGATCGAAATTATACTTGTTAAAAACATGCTTTTTTAGCCAACCTGTGAAATGCTTATTATGTTTTTTTCTCATACCAAGTTTTTGTTCTTCTAAGATTGTCCTCCCTAATGTTAGACTTGTGCTTATCTGCATACTCATCAACCTCTTTAGAGTTGTGCGACACATAAAGAGGTGCTTGCTCCCAATGTGTTTCTAAATAATGACTAATTTGACCCCCTTCATTCCTTCTCTATCTTCTCTTCCCATATGCCTATCTACTAGGATTCCAACATATTTTTCATCTCTCAAGTACTCTTGACAGAATTCTACAGCTTCTTCACTAATGTACCTCTCAAGAATGCAACCCTTAGGTCGACTTCAGTTTTTCACATATCCTTTTAGTACTTTCATGTTACATTCAATCGGGTACATCTATCTTAAATAAGCCGGGCCTTAACTAAGTGAATAGTAAGATGAATCATTATGTCAAAAAATGTAGGTGGGAAATACATTTCAAGTCCACAGAATGTCCTTATAATTTGGCCTTGTAACCTTGACAATTTACAAGGGTCGATTACTTTACTACAAATAGACTTGAAGAAGAAACATATTTTAGCTATCGCATTATATACCTTACTTAGTAAAATAGAACATATGGCCACTGGAAGAAAATTTTCCATCAACACATGGCAATCATGAGATTTTAAACCTTTCAGCTTTAAGTCTTTCATTGATACAAGATTTTTAATATTGGACAAGTAATTCTTTAGAATTTTATTTGCACCAAAAAACTCACATAATGATCTTTTTTCTTTTTTAGACAATGTATAAGTTGCCGGACGAAGAAATGTATGGCTTCTATTCTCCTCCTGTGCCAAGTCTTCTCGTATTCCTATGGAAACCATGTCTAGCCTTGCTTTTATGCCATCTTCGCTCTTCCCTGGAATATGTAGTAATGTACCAACAATACTTTCACACACATTTTTTTTAATATGCATTATATCAAAAAAATGCCCCATATATAAGGTCTTCCAATATAGCAAATCAAAGAAAATAGATCTTTTCTTCCATTCACTTGTACTAATGTGCCACACTAAAGGTTTTCTAAATGCAATACCCAAATTCTTAACCTTTTCAAACAGCTGATCACTGGATAAAAATGTAGGAGGCCCACCTTCTTTTAGAGTACCATCAAAAGATTTTCTTAATCTCTGATAATAATGTTGTTGAGGCAACCATCTGCGATGTCTCATGTACACATTTTTCATATCATGTTCTAATCTCACTGTCTATGTACTATCTTCACAAATAGGGCATCTAAGTTTTTCTTTGATACTATACCCAGACAAATTACCATAAGCTGAAAAGTCATTGATTGTACCAAATAGCATGGCTCTTAAATTAAATATTTCCTTCTTATACCCATCATATATCTCGACACTTGTCTCTTATAATAGCTTTAAATCTTCAATTAAAAGAGCTAAGTATATGTCTATGTCATTTTTAGGTGTTTTGGCCCAGAAATTAACATGGACATCATCAAATACTTGTGTTTCATGCATAGCCATAAAGATAGGTTGTAAATAATTAACATCACTGGCCATATACTATGGGTACTACTTTGCATGCTATGTGGATTCATTCCGTCAGTAGCTAGTGTGAGGTGTAGGTTCCTAGAATCTCTTGTAAAGTCTAGATACTCTCGATCAACCTTTTCCCATTGAGCAGAGTCAGTAGGATGCCTTAGCATACCATCTCTAATCCTCTCGTCTGCATGCCATGTCAACTTTTTGGAATCTACTACACTGCTATATAAGCATTTAAACTGAGGCACTATAGGAAAGTACCATATCACCTTCTCCGGACTCTTTCTATTATCCTTATAACATGATGCATTACATTTAAGACACTCAGTTAATAATGCATATTCATTCCTGAACAAAGTACAATCATTAGGGCAAGCATGTATTTTCTTATAGCTCATGCCCATAGATCACAACACTTGTTTTTCATCATATGTTCAGGTTGGAAGCTCATTACCTTTCGATAGCATTTCATGAATAAAAGAAAGAAATTAGATGAAGATTGTATCAATCAAAACTCCTCTCGCTTTTAAGTTATACAATCTCAGCACAGCGGTCAATTTTGGGAATCCAATGTAACCGGTGTATAAAGGTGTTCTCGCATCATTTCTCAACCTCTCAAGCATTTCAAGACAATCCTAGAGTTCCTCTTCAACAGCACTCGCCATCTCTTCAACATGATCATCTTCATCTATACTTGTTTCAAAATCATGTAACACGTACGTTGAACCATTATTCCCATGGCTTCTATCAGTTGTATCCCTTGACTCACCATGCTTATGCTAACATGTGTAAGTATGATCAATTTCATGGCACACTAAATGGTCTTCCAACCCGCTCGCACTAACTCGATTCAAGTGGCCACACCTGATGCAAGGGCACACAATGCTATTATGATCTGCTTCATGCTTTAATGCAAAACTAATGAACTCTTTCACGATTCTATTCACAAACATCCATTCCTTGTCCATGATCTCTTCCAATCTGATAAGAATTATTGAGTAAAATGATATTAGTGACTCAATCATATTAAAAGAGTTAGTTTAATAAATAAATTAACTTCTAACTCAATCAATCATGAGCTATATGCTTCCACATATATATCATCCCTCTCTAAGCTAATTAAGTTTAAGATAATACTTATAATTATATTAAACTAATTGTAAGTAATTTATCTTAAACAAAAACTTGCCAATACGTGAATTTTTTTAATTTATAAGTTGTAAATAATTTATAACATTTATTTTCATGACTTCTTTAGGAATTATATTTGAATATATATAACCCAAACAACATTAGGGCCCTTGTATTTAAATAAAAACTAAGTAATTTTTAAATACTTTAGAGATTTAAAAAAAAGAATTTATTTTGTAGAGATTTTAAAAAAAGGAATATAATTGTTTTATGTTTGGTTACAATAAAAAAATTACTTATAATTATAATAAGACAAATATATATTTGAATATTAATATTAACATACATCCTAATTGTTTTATGCTTTTTACTTAAAAGAAAAAAAAACTTAAACAAAATTTTAAATAAAAATTGGGCAGCATAACTATATAAAAGTAGAACTTTTCAAGAGGCATTTTGTCTCATTTCAATCACAACACCATCAACAACAACAACAACAACATATAGTATTTTAAGCTAAAAGACACACATGAGTAACAATTTCGAGTAAGTTCAAAGTACTCATACACAATTTCAATTAATATAAAGCTTCATACACTATTCAACTATCAATTAAAGAATTAAATGATAGAAAATTTCTAATCAAATTAGTTAGATATTGTTCAAACAAAAAAATATACAAAAAATGGGTCATAAATTTGAATAAAAATAAAAACTATATATAACTCCTATCTAATCAAATTTTATTAGTCTAATATATATCTTAAACTTATCCATAACTTAAATTTCATATGAGTTTTGGCTAAAGATAATTTTTTTCTATGAAACATTTCATCAAACACCTCGTGGGTAGCATTAATAACACACCAAATCAACATAATGTAATCTGATAAACCCAAACCAAATCAAAAATCAACCATGCCTAATCAATTCTAAAAAACAATTAAACACAAAAATTCACTTAAATGGTTTCAGATAGCACTCAAAAAATTAAGAATAAATATGAAGAAATAAGGAGAGAAGAGGCAAGCACTTACAAAATGTAGAAAATGAAGTCAATGAAGGAGAAGAGAAGACCCACACAAGCTTGAGGAATATTGAAGAACATGAGCTCCAAGGGAGAAGATGCTGCTCGGCCGAAAGGAGAAAAACCAAAAAATAGAGGAGATGAGGTGCGGAGAAGGAGAGATGCTGTAAAACTGAAATCTGATCTGAAATAGGAAGGAAAATGTATAAGTTAAACGTATATTGGATAGTTATCCACTTAACCATTCAATAAATGTGCCACATAGTGGATGGTTAAACAAAATAACCGTCCAATATCTGTATCAAAATATAAAAATTATCAAAAATTCAAAATTTAAATCTTATTACTATTGCAGAAAATGCAAATAAGAGCGCCTATTTGGGCTCCCAAATATATACATAGAAACATTTCAAAGTGCTTATTAAAATAAGCACTCTAGAATGTTAATCTATGGGAGCGCTTAATTGAAAAAATGCTCTTGTAGATCTGTAAAAAAATAAGAAAAAATCAAAATACATGTTATAGCGTTTTCAAGCAAAGCGCTTCGAAAATTTACTAAAACAAAATAATTAAAAAAATTCAAAAAGCCTACCAGAGTACTTGCATCAAAAGAGCTTTGGTAGGTAATGGCAAAAAAGAAATTTTAAAAATTTAAAAAGGCTTATTACAGTGCTTTATTAGAAAATGCTCCGATAGATTAGAAGAGACAACCTTTTTCGGACCACTTTTGGTATAAGAGCTCCAAAAGGCTTCCAATTTTGGAGCCTTTTAGGAAAAGTGCTCTGAAAGATTATCTTAAAAAAACAGCTTAAGTTTGATAGATTCGCATAGCCCTACTTTAAAATTTCTCTTCTCCTTCTCTCAAACCCTCACCCCTTTCCATCTTTTTTCAAGTACCATCGGTCTCCTTAGCTTTCCTTTGTCATCTTGCTGCCACTAGCAACTTACTGTCACTGGAAGCCACATCGTTTGCCTTCAACATTCTGCCACAAGTTATCATAGATTTGTGCATCTCTACCTCTAGAAAACCTTTGACCTGCTCTCTTCTCCTTCAGGGTTGTCCATTGTACACCAGCCTTTGTTGTCCGTTACTTTAGATTTGTCCCTTGTGCTTCAGATCCACAAGGCATTGTTGATTTGTGCTTTAGATTTCTGCAGATCGGAGCTGCTGTAGTGCCATCCCTGTGTCCCCCACCATAAGCCATTTTTACCATCCTTGCCTTCCTTTCCATAGTATGATACTTTCAATCATCATTCCTTCTTGTTCTTATTTCTAAAAATATATTTGCCTTGTGAGTTTTTGAAATTTAGATACAGTAGGTAAGCTGATGCTATTCGGCGGTAATTTCATTTCAAAATCTTGTTTACCTCAAACCATGGTCGCCTTCAAGATTTTGGTGCATTTTCTTTGTCTCTTCTATTTATCCTTTTGCATTGTTCCATTTTTTAACACTCCCTTCTTCTTCTTTTGACCAAGAAAAAAATTTTATATCATACATGTCATGGTTTTTCTCCTTCTATTTTGTGATTCTTAATGGCTTTTACCCTGGATTCTTTATAATGGCAATATGTATATCGGTGCTATTTGTATTCAAAAAATAATATTCTAAAGGTGTGCATAGCAATGGAAGCATTCGTTTCAACCATGTTTGCCTTGTTTTATAAAGGATGAGATGATTCGTTTAGAAATAGAAAAGACTATCTTTGCAGGAGTTCAGTGAATTCAAAGAGGAATAAAACTCAACTATTTTGGGACTGGAAAGGGGATTTGACACAGAAGAGCAAAACACAATATTGACTATTAAGAGAGGAAATGTGCTGGTGGGGATTAGAATTGATAGCCAAAGCAGGCAACTTCTAAATTGGGCTCTTGTTAAAGTCGCTCAACCTAGGGATTGCGTTGTTGCAGTTCATGTAGTTAAATGTTCTGGTAATCTTTGACTAAATAAAAAAATGATTGAAAATATTTAATTGATTGATTAATAATTCAATTCTGGAAATATTTTAAATGAAGACAAATATAATAATATTTCTTACCTTGTTAATTTAAATCTGAATATCACAATAATAATTCTGTATCCAAAATTAATCCCTGTAGGATTTAAAAGTGCAGTTAATGAATTAGATAATTATCAAAATTAATTAAGAATTTCATCAGTTTTCACATGAATAATTGTATCATCTTTTAGTTCAAGATATCCTCCCAAGTTCCAAGTTATATATTCCAAGTTCAGGATAGCAACGTATTTTTTTTAGTTCTCGAAGCGAAAAGGTCTCTAAACAAATTAAACAAAAAAAAAATCTAGAGGGTACATGATTATAAAATGTACTCCCTCAATTAAAAAATATAAGGCATTTTTAACTGAATCTCACTGTTCAATAAAGTAGTTGCCTACTTTTCAACTAGCCCTATCTTTTCATATTTACCCCTATTAAATACCCTACAATAAATATAAAGTCATTATCAATAGGGATACTTTTAGAAAAAAGGTAACGATTACACCTCAAAAGACTAAAAATGCCTTACATTTTTAAATATTCAATTCTTAAAAAAATGCCTTACATTTTTGAATGGAGGGAGTATCTGCAAGAGGGTACTTCTTTACTTCAACAATTGTCATGCATTGATAGGGCTGCGATTATAGGTTTCATGTGAGCCTCTTATTACCAATTTTAACAAAAATTAATATTTTTATTTTACTTCTTTAGGCCCTTGTTTTAATATTCTTTCTTGTTTTAATTAATAAAGTTTGTTTATGTATTTAAAAAAACATCAAAGTAGCATATTTCATGCATTTTGAAGGTGATGTGTGGAGGAATCTGAACCATAATTGATATATATAGCATTCAATTGTATCAAAGGAAAAAAGCATACTGGTTTGGAATTAGATAATAATTGTTTGAAATTACTCTTTTATCTTACATCTTCTCATTGTTAAAATTTTATAATTCCCTTTATCTATTTTATAATTTTGCAAGTTGTTTCAAATGTTGTCTCGGGATGAGAAATACAAAGCAAAAGTATAACCTTCTTTTCCTTTCAAGTACATATTTACTCTTATCTCTATTTTTTGTTTAGTCTTTTTGTTCTTTTTCTAATCCTTATGTTTCAAATTGTTTAGATCTTTTACACACATTTTGGAATTTAGATAGAAACCTTAACTTTATTGAGTACACAAGTCTATTCTGATATAAGTTTTTTTAGATAGAAAACTTAAGTTCTCACATATATTATTTACATGACTTCACACAAATTTAGGTAATCATGTGTGGTTTCTTTTTTTATTTCATAATCAATTATGGTTAACCTCTAGAAGTTCATGTTATTTCATCACATTTTCCTTAGATTCTAATCCATTTTGGTTTAATTGTATATGTTTTTATTGCCCAATTTAGGAAAATGTGCATTTTGTTTTGGGCTTGTGTTCTTGGCTTTAATTTGATATTTTTAGCCTAATTTCATGTTATTTTGATTGAAGTTTTGATTAGAAGCATTTCTGGAGCTTTATGGATGTTTTTGGAAGGCTTTTGAATGAAGAAATCAAGAGCAAAATGAATGAATTTTATTAGCTGTAAAAACAGTGCAAAACTGCCAAAATCATCCTAAAGTCGTGACTTTCATTCTTGACTTTCTCTGCTGTCAGAAAAACGCTGCGTTTCATTTATCAGAAATTAGTTGGCTAGGATACATATAAGCTGAAAGCTCGACCCGGAACGCATTCTTCAGACTTTTAGACACTTTTGGAGCTTGGTTGTGCTAGGGTTTGGGCATTGTAAGAGTTGAGATCAATAGATTGAAGCTTTGAAGACATTTGAAGCTCATTTTCTTTGGTTTTTCTATTCCTCTTCCCTTTCCTCTCTTGTAATCTGAAATGGGTCCACTTATTTTGTATATTTGTAGCTTGTGGATGATTATGAGTAGCTAAATCCTTTGTTCTAGGATTATTTAGAACCCTTGTATGGATTAACACTATATTTCTCCTCTCTTTTTGTGATTAATGATATATATATGTTTATTTTACTTTTTCCTTAATGCTTCTACTTGATTGGCCACCATTTAGATGTTGGGTTCACTTAATTGATGCTTGAGAGGGCTAGGTTAAGTGTAGAACTTGGGTAAAATTGTGTAAGAACTTGATATTTGCATGTTGAATGGATGGTTCTGCTGGTAAGATAGAGATATACTTGCTAGCCTTGCATAGCCACATTAGGGTTGGTGTTTAAAATTGAGTTTTATTGATTGCAACAAGAGATTGGGCAATTAATTTAACTAAATACTTGTTCATGACTTGAGAGAGCTTGTCCAAGTATTTTTAGAATCCTCGGTTATCACTTATTTTCATTAAAAGCATTTATGAAAGGAGGTAATTTTGGTGTTATGAAATGCAAGGGGAACAAATAATCTTAGGTCTCAATTAGTGTTGGAAGTTTGTGAATTACTCACTTTCTTTATTTTTCAGTGTTAGTTTCATTTGCAAAACCATTTCACCTAACTATGTGTAGCTCAACTTGATCAAATTTGCTTAGTCTTTTGCTTGATTATAGTTTTCTAAATAAATCCTCGAGGGAACGATACTCTACTCATTTTATCTTACTTGCTACGACCCGTACACTTGCGGTGAGCAACAATTATGTTAGAAGAATACCATAAGGTAATATTGATCATAGAAGTTTTGATTCAAAGTAAAAAAAAATATATTGACATGTAAAAGAAGATTTGGTTCTAAGTTTGAATTATTGTGATAATAGTATTGGATGACATGTTATTTTGTAAAATTTATTTGATAGTGTGATGATGCTATCAAAATTTACCAGTTTTGGAAAATTTATTTAAGTTGAATAATTATGAAAACTATAAAATATATGGTGAAAATAATTTTTTTTTACAATAAAAACCCTACGGGATCGTTTTCTTATTAAGCGCTCCCGTAAATCCCTTTATAGGAGCACTTTATTGTAAGGCGCTCCTATAGATGGCTTTACGAGAGTGCTTGATAGAAAAGCGCTCCCATAAGGTCTTTATTTTGAAATTTTTAAATGTCTATGGGAGTGTTTTTTATAAAAGCGCTCCTGTAGACCACCCTCTATGGGAGTGCTTTATAAAGCGCGCTCTCGCATATATTGGAGTGCTGGCTATGGGAGCGCTTCTCGTATACCAAAAATAAGCGCTCCAGTAAGGTTATTTTGTAGTAGTGTATCTTGGACGGTTTTAAGGATAACCGTCCAATATAGCTCTAAATATTGAACGGTTAAGGCACTCTTATAGATGGCTTTACGGGAGCGCTTAATAAAAAAGCACTCCCATAAGGTCTTTATTTTAAAATTTTTAAATGTTTATGGGAGTTTTTTTTATAAAAGCGTTCCTGTAGACCACCCCTATGGGAGTGCTTTTTATAAAAGCACTCCTATAGACCACCCCTATAGGAGTACTTTATAAAGCATGCTCTTGTATATATAGGAGTACTGGCTATGGGAGTGCTTCCTGTATACCAAAAATAAGCGCTCCGGTAAGGTTATTTTGTAGTAGTGTATCTTGGACGGTTTTAAGGATAACCGTCCAATATAGCTCTAAATATTGAATGATTGACCACAGAACCCTCCAATATTCATTCCCGCATAAGCATATTGGATGGTTTATCACATAATTGTCTAATAAGCCTCATCATATATTAATAAATCTGTAACTTTCATTAACATTGCCAATCTCACACATTTAAACTCTAATATTCTCTTTTTATATTACCCAATGCCCATATTGCTTACATTTGGGCTTACCTATTGGGTTTATTATCTATCTATAATGTTATATAGCTTCATTGAATACCAATATTGCCATTAATACCTCAACAACCATAATAATGACATATTTAATATTCATTTTTGAACATTAATGGAGCTCTCCCTTCAACAACCACCAAAATCATTTATACTAGGTTTAAATACTCTAAAAAACTCTCATTAACTCCATTTGAGTCAATGGGTTCGGATTCATAACCTATATGGACTGAAATCATCATCCTCATTCAAACCCTAACTTAAATCCTTGAGAAAATGAAAGAGGAAAGGAGAAAAAGGATTTAGGAATCTTACCTTGAATGATTTGGAGCTTCAAACCTTCTCAAATCCTCCTCTAGGTCATGCCCTAGCAGAGCAAATGTGAGCTCCTCCATTTCCTTTCCTTTCCTTTTTGTTTTTGCATCAATTCGCGTTTAAATTCTATAGAATTCACACTGTGGGCCACAACGTATGTCCTCACACGCCACAGCATGTGGTATAGAGAAAACAACTCTTGCTTGATGGTCCTGTGCATCGCGGCGCATCTCGCAAGTGTCATGACATGTGACACAAAGGCTTTTTAGCTTGGTTTTCTGCACTTTTTGGTCACTTAATTTGACTTTGGACCAAAATTATATTTGAAATTCTAACTAAAAACACTTATTATTCTCCTCTGATCACATACCACATCAACTTACTTAATTACCCTAATTAGCTTTAATTAATCATGGGATTAAAAACTGAGATGTTACAGTATCTACAAGGAAGCCTGTAAGATATGGGAGTCCCTGGTGACAAAGTACATTGCTGAGGATATTGACAAACAAAAGTTCATTGTGGGAAACTACTATAGATGGGAGATGATCAAGAATAGGGACGTGAAGAAGCAGATTAATGAGTATCACGATTAATGAGTAGATTAATGTGAAGGAGCAGATTACGTTTTTGACGTTGTTCTTTCCTCCTCTGACTGTGTTTTGGTTCGCTTGAGTTTGCTGTTCTGTTGTCTTGTGCTTGTTTAATTATGAGGAACTGCCGTTCTGCCGTACCAGTATGCTGGAATAATTCTTAAAGACAGTGTCCTTCGGCACGACTCAAGCAGCTCTCGATTTCCTACTTGCAGCCAACACTTTTAAACTCATATTACATCATAATTAATTTTGTATTTCTATTGACGAAAGGGAGCATTTTTCAGCTTTTAATTATTAGGATACTCATGTATCGAACTCCATCTAAAAACATAATTATTCATTAAGTTAGAGTAAAGCCACACTCATCAAAGTAAGTTTATAAAGAATATGCAATCAAAGAATGAAAACGCAACCAGTGCAAACAGGGGCTTAACCAACATTAACCAACATTTTGAAAGGTAAGGGGGCCAAGTTTCTAAACATTATATTAATTAATATATATATGTTATCTTTAAAATATTTTTAAAATAGCAGAAAGTGAAATTATATATTTATCTTTGTTTTTCCTTCCTTCAGATAACTCAACTACAGAGAAAATTTATTTTTATCTAACCAATTTGAAGTGCAGAACTAATTTTAAGCATACACAGATTTAATTTCCACTAAATGAAAGATTAAATTGCAGAAGGTGAAGGTAGGTAATCTTACCTCTTTTCGTCATTATTGTTCTCGCCAACGGAGCTCCGATGTGCATGAATTTAGTTGTCGAGAATCGAGAGAGACAGTACCTACAAAGGCGCGGGGTCTTTCCCTTCCATTTTGCTCCTTTCCTCTCCATTTCTTTGATCCTAACCGTCCAATCTGTGTGGCTCGTACATGATCATCTAAAATGCCAACTATAATCCAATACTATGGGCTTGCTTACTTATTAGAAAAGGATGAAATAAAATAAATTAAAAAATAAAAAAGATTATCAAAGGGGATTAATAAGCACATTTATAAGTGATAATTTGATTCATAGGGTTGAGAATTATAATTTATGAGATTTTTAGAGAGCGTGATGATTTTCACATTTATAATATATATTAATGGATGATTTAGTTTATTTTTATCTTAATTTTTTCAATCCATTTTATTCTTTTCATTTTTACTAACCAAAAGAGACCTATTATTATCTAAAACAATGTGCCCTGAAAAACTGTTTTGGTTCATATATTTAAAAAGGGTTTTGGAATTTTTTATTAAAATAAAGATAGTTTTACTTTTAAAAACAAACGCTATTACATTTTTTCAGACTATTTAATTTAAAATTTTATTCTTGTATTTCAAATTTAAATTATTATGAATTTAAACATTGATGGTTGTTTTTATCTTTGTTGTATTATTTATAAATAAAAAATATTAAAAATGGGGGTAATATTACTGTATATAAATAAATATATTATTTAAAACATTATAAAATATATTTATAAATTTTAAAAACTGTTTGAAAAAAATTTAAAACTGTTTCAGTGAGTATTGAGTAAACCAATTTTTACGTTTTTCTGATGTGATGTTTTTGCCGTAACATATGGTCATGCATTTTCCACTTGCTCTAATTGCAAACTTCATTTTGACATATTGATTGAAATTTATAATAATATATTATATATACACACACACACATTTATATTTTCTCCACTGAAACAGTTTTTTAAATTTATAAATTGATTGAAAAACGTAAAAGTTAGTTTTACTCACTATAACAGTTTTTAATTTTTTTGATATGAATATTTTTTAAATTTAAAAATAATATATATTTTTTTAATATTTTAAATAATATATTTATGTATACATTAATATTTCCCATTTTTAATAGTTAAATAATACAATAAAGATAAAAATAATGATTATAATAATTTTAATTTGAAACACAAGAATAAAATTTTAAATTAAATAGTTTATTTTAATAACACTGTTTATTTTAATAAAAAAAATTCCAGAACCGGTTTTTTACATTCGAACCGAAACAGTTTTTTAGGATAAATTTTTTGGTAATAATGATATTAGATTACAACTAGTATCTTTATTTGGATGGTTAAGATCAAGGGAATGGAGAAAAAAAGATAAAAGAGAGACCCTGCGCCCGTACTACAATGGTTTGCAGTGATTACTCGAATAGATCGTGGAAACTTGGCATCGACTTCTGCTTGCTGTTGAAGACACATTGCAGGAACTAGAAATTTCATTCTTTTGAAAGAATTCTTTTGCCAATCTGCTCCACAGAGATCTGCAAACAACTACTGTTGGTTAAGATATTTTCCAGCTTTTTTCTCATTTCAATTCGGTTACTGTTGCTACTTCTTTACCACTTGTTTTTATTTCTCCTATCATCTATCGGATGATATTATTATCTTTTTTCTTTTTAGTTCTATAATTGATCTTTTATAAAAAAGAAATTATGTATCTATTACATAAATTATTCAAAAGAAAAATATAAATATTATAAAAAAAAGGTCATATCTTCCATGTCACGTCGAAGAAGAGTGAAGCTTCTCGAAGTCAAAGTTTGCACGTAGAATAACTATTTTTTTTTTATTAAAGAGCTTATTAAATAATCAATCACAGTCAAATCAAACCAAGATCCTTCCATGTATCGGTCACGGTAAGTGTCACACCCCTGTATTTAAGATACGAAAAACACAAAATATAAAATAGACTCATAGATTATAAATGTTAAATAATTAAAAAATTAATTTAAAATAACAATATAATTTATATATAAATTTAAAATTTATAAAATTTTAATCATTCTATAAAAATTTTAAAAGAGTTTTTTCTATAGTAAGGACCTCTTTAAAATTTTTACAATAACAAAAACCTATTAACCAAACTAAAAAGGGAGTTCAATTCCACACTAGTAGATTTCATAATGATAAAATAAGACTAGGATTTAATTATAATATACATGGAGCGCTAAGTTAATATTTCATAGTACAAGATATATTTACATCAAAACTAACTAATGCATGCTTTCATAGTTTCAAAAAGCAATGGTGTCTCTTTATAATCAGCAAGAGGTACATTAATATCTAAAATTAAAGAAATTTTTTTTTTGTGAGTAGCGTCTCAATTTAAAATTGAAAGAAATAATGGAAAGAAAATCAATAAATCAATTATAAATATACAAAAATAATTAATTAAAAATAATACGAACCATGAATACACAAATACAAATAAAAATTTATTAAAACATTAAATTTCCTTTCTTTTTTTTATTTTTACAAATACTTGCACATCTTGGGATATATAAATGGTAGTATAAAATTCATATATAGTAAAAATAGTAGTTTGCTTTCTAAGATCAAAGTTAAAGAAAAATATAGTTTCAAAATTTCTTTTGTAGCATGACTTGATCAGAACGATTAATAAGTATGGACAGATAGTCCACGAAGGTAAATTACCAACAAGCGAGGCTTAAAGTCAAGAAATAATCAAGCGCTGCTAGAAGCCCACGAAACAAGCACAAGCACTAAGCCCATGAGACAAGCGTGAGTACGATGCTTATAAATATCCATCTCCCCGTTTCATGTGCGTTGGCCTGTGCATGAGCCTAGTACCTCCTATAAGCACCTTACTAGCTAGGTAGACCATGGTAGACCAAAGGCTAATGGAGCCGCTGCTAGTATCCAACATTTTAAAATTAGTCCCCCTAATTAAATCAAACGTGCATGTAATTAAAACATTCATTTAAAACAATTTCTTTTAAAATATAATATTCAGCTATCAATTTTTTTTAATTTTTCTCCATGCACAAATCACCATGTTAACCACTGTTATATAAATTATAAAATTTAAACAACAGAAATGTTTAGAATAAATAATCAGATAATAATATACTGAATTCAAATATTCTTTAATAATAGCATAATTCTTAATGATAATAAAGTAAATTCTGTAATGAACCAATTAATAAAAGAATGAAGTAAGTAAGAAGAATTGTATAAATAATAAAAATAGAATTAACAGGAATATTTATATAACTTATAAAGGAATAATATAAAAATTTAAATAAAAAATTTTTATAAACACTTTGCAAGAAATTATTTAGGACACTGTCCACTTACCTTTCACATTTTCAAATACCTCTATATCTTGCTCCTTTCTAAGTTTCTCATTTATATTTTGATAGTGCCACTATTTACCTAATCAAACAAACTAACAAGCTAATAACATTAAACTTCCTATGCTACAGCTCCATCTATGCATGCTTTATTTAAATATCCACAAGATTTTCCAAAACCTTATTCATTCTTAATTCAACCATTTCAAACCATGATCTCTTCTAATTTCTTTAAATCCAATAATAATAACTTCAATAACTCATTGGCTATGCAATTCTCAATTAGTTTTGTAGAATATAAAAGATGTTGATTCTAAAGGCATAATATTTACTCAATTGTTTTATAGTTCTTTTATCACACATTACATTTAACACCTAATATGCATCCCAAAATTAAATCACAAGACAACACAATAATTTATAAATTATCAAATGTAAATTCTCAAGAATTTAATTAATCTCTCAATAACATAGATAAATTTCTTTACAATATTCAATTTAAATTCACAAATGAGTAATATCCAAGCTAATGTATGCTTCTTGAGGGACCTAACGAAGTTATAAAAAAATACCTTTTCAAGTATCTCCTCCAATAATACATTCATTAGCGCAAACTCTTTAAATTATTTGTGATCAAGCTTCAACAACCCACTAGATACATTTCCACTCTCAATGAATGACAAACTTTAAAAGAGAATAGTTTAACATTCACTTCATGTACAAGACAACATTGAACTTAATCATTAACGTATATCATCATAGCTAACCACTAGCCTCAACATTAATCTAAAATCTTTATCATTCTTTCTTTTCAAGCATGTGTCAAATTCAACATAGTAGCCCAAGCTTTCCTCTACAATATATATATATATATAACTATATATATTTAAGTAATATTTATACCTTTCTAAGTTTTCAACATAGAGATTGCACAATCTAAATCTAAGTTTCAGTTTTTCATAAAAGTAATATGCTTGCATGTTCCGTTTCAACCAAATTCCTCTTTTACACATTTTAACAAATACCTTATGAGTAACTCCATTCACACTATATTACAAAGCCCCTTCCTCTTCAAATCTCTTGTCAATATCCATTATCAATATTTAAATTTTTCCAGCTTCTCAAATCTCACTCCTCATACAGTGAAAAATTAAACTCCGACACAAAACATCACATGAAACTCACACCTGTTTTATAATAAACGAATGCTTAAGGCAAAATTACTTACCTTAATGAACTTCCTAATCTTCAATTTATGCTTGCTCGGATCGCCCCCTCACCTATACCTCTCGCACAGCAGCTCCAGTCAGCAACAAGCCCATGACAGAAACAGGGAGAAGAAGACGTTGCAGATCGGACACGGAGGAGGAAGAAGGATGTCCGACGCAACCCAAACCATGGCAAGTATAGAGAAAGAAGAGAACTCCCATTCGGAACCCACGCACACCACGCCACCACCAAGGAAAGAAAAAGACATAGAAATGTGAAGCAACAGTGGAAATTACAGCGGACTCACAATGGCAAAGAGATGAGCAGAAACAGCGAGGTTCAGAGCAGAGAAGAACATTGACAGCAAGGAAAGTAGTCCGACGGTGAGGAGAGAAGAGGAGCAAGATGTCGGTGAAGAGGAAAGAAGAGAGAAAGAAGAAAATAAATCGTATGCTCTGCATTTCGAACGGCGGAGGAGAAAAAAAATCTGAACAACAGAGAAATTGGGCAAATTACAAGAAAGGGAATAAGAAAAATTATAAGAAAGGACATAAAAAAATGATGAGAAAGGACACAAACTTTTTATATAATTTAAAATAAAATAAAATTAAACTTTTGCTCATTAAAATTCAATTCTAAATCTTCAAAAAAATTACTATCATAAATTTTACTAAACTATCACTCTTCACTTGTTATAGAATTTTGACAATTAAATTTAATATTAATTTAAAAATAATTATTTAATTTAAAATTTAGAATTATTACACTAACCCGACCACATTGACATATATCCTAGCTGCTTGATTCGAAAGAGGACTATCCTAACATATATGCTCACCTGCAGCATTCCTGGTCTTGAAATTACCATCCATTACAACAATGAATCTGCAGCGTGCTAAAGAAAGATGGGCTGCAGTGAAGGAGCTTCTCCTCCTCTGTTTAAAGAACCCTAATTCGCTTTCAGTTATGCAGGTCATTGACAACAAACTGGGATCGTTTTCACTCGGTGCTGCCATAGCTCTGGCAGGGAGCATGGGGTTTGCTTCTAGTTTACCCAGAAGCCCAGCGGGAGAGATAATCGCAACTCTAGATTCGATCGCCATACCTTTTCTAGCTCTTGGTATTGCTTTCCGTGAGGCTCGCCCAAAAGCTACCGCGTGGTTTCTGCTCGTTGGAATCTTCATGTTCTTTCTGGCGGTTTTCTGTCGTACTGAGTGTCCGCTTACCTCCAGAACTCTTATGGATTCCATTCTTTTGTTGGCTGGGTACAATTATTGCACTAATGTGCCTACCAACCTCGACGGGGGCAGAAGTCTGACAGAAGGTGAGAAGTCCAATTAATTACTTAACTGTTAGTAAGTAGTAGCTGTACGTCTAGCTAATTCTTCATAACTATTGAAGCTCGTGAACAACTAAACATTAAGAACATCCAACAAGGCATAAAGCACAGCATTTAGATTTCAAAACAAAACAATCCCAAGATCAATACCTGTACTTATTACCACAATGATGATCATTGATAAGAATCTATGGTTCGATCGATGGTTTTCATTTCTTAACTGAATTTTGGACTGAAGTTCTAGGGTATTTTTGAACTACAAATTCTAGAGCTAGTTTCCCAATTACACCTGTGTGCTTTTAGGTGTAAGTATGCATTTATATATATATATATATATATATATATGAACTGCATTCTATTTTTTCTAGATGTAAAAAATAAGCATAATAGGAGATGAGTATTTTAAAAGTAAAGTCCCAAAAGTTTACCTTTTATTTGTGCCGTTTAAGTATGCATGAATTGTTATGAAGGATGGTAAATAAGGACGTAATGAATATATTGTGAGGATTTAATACTATGCTTAAGATCATGTAAAAGAAACCAATAGGAATCAGGATAATCAAGTATAGGGACTCAAGTTAACAATAATTCAAATGATGCATGAGTTGTTAGGTGAATTTAGGGTCACCCTAATCATGGTAGTGATAAGTCCTAAATACATTCTGAAGGCATCATATATTGAAATAGTAAAGAGAAACAAGGTGACAAATGAAATGTTCTAAGAATTTAACATAAATTTAACATTAGAAAACTTCCTTGTTAGAAAAGGAAATAACGTACGTGGGACTAGCTAACACAGCATAGAAAGAAATGAAATCAACCACATTTACAACTACCAATGATAACACTAATACCATATATAGTATTAAGGAAATTAGCTACCAATTTTATAAATAGACTCTATTAAACTTATCATAAAGGCCTTCCAATCATAATAAAATATGCATGACAACACTATTCCCATAAGATCACACAAATAACTTTTCTAGAAATCCATCAACACCTACTATGGGTAGAATAGGAATAAAGAGCCCACACACTTGGCCTACCACAAGAAGAAAGGAACACAAAACATTCACAAGCAATCATGCAAAGTTCTAGAGTATTTTTGAACTTCAAATTCTAAAACTAGTTTTATAACATCCCAATTACACCTGTGTGCTTCTAGGTGTAAGCATGCGTGCCTGCATTCTATTTTTTCTAGATGTAAAAAATAAGCATAATGAGATGAGTATATTAAATGTAAAGTCCCACCAGTTTACCCTTTATTTGTCCGTTTAAGTATGCATGCCTTGTTTGTTATGAAGCAGGGCAAATTATTAAGGACGTCATGGGTATATTGATGATGATTAATGATATATGCTTAAGATCATGTAAAAAGAAATCAATAGGAATACATATAATCAAGTAGGGACTTAACAACCCTCGGCAAATGTTACGAATAGACAAGTGACGGTATACCCTCAGTTGTCAGGTGGATTAAGGGACGCCATAATCATGGTAATAATAGGTCTTATGTAGATTCTTAAGACATCATATTGAAATACTACAGAATATCAAGGTGACAAATGAAACGTCCAATCGTCTAACATCCAACAATTAGCTATACTATTACAGAATTTAACATAAATTTAACATTAGAAAACTTCCTTAATAGAAATTAAAGGAAATAACATATCTGGGACTAGCTACCACAGTATATAGAAATAAATGAAATCAACCACATTTAGAACTACCATGATAAAAAAAAGTTGAGCTTTCTTTCCTAAAACACCGCTATGGTAAAAAAGAAAAAAAATCATTTAAGCAAAACATGAAGATCTTTCATAGATTATTTATTTTAAAATACATTTTTGTTATTAATTTTATCAACACAATAAGATCTACTTGTCGTGATTTATTAAGTATATAAAGTTTAGTACATAAGTCTTACCCTTTTCTTTAGTATTATGGTAGTGTAATTAAATGATCCACATGTCTTGCTTTTTTGATTAAATGACTAGCTACCAATTTGTAAGACTTATGTACTTAGCCCTATATACTTAATATATTTTTATCCAATCAAATCATTACAAGTGGATAATAATTTATTAACTAAATAAATAACAAGAATTTATTATAGCATAAATAATCCATAAAAGATACACATATCTTGATTTAATTGGAAATAGTCATATTAAATATAAAAATCTAAGTATGTAAGTTTTCCCCTTTCTTACATAGACTTTATTATGGTATACGAGAGTTATATTTATGGGAAAAGCTTAATTATATACTTAGTCTTATATACTTATGATTATTATTTTTAATTAAATTAAGACATGTGTATCATTTATAGATTATTTATTCTATAATAAATTTTTGTTATTAATATGATTAATATATTAAAATTTACTTGTTTTGATTTGATTGGATAAAAGTATGTAACTTAAGTATATAAGATTAATTAAGCACCTAAGTCTTGCCCTAAACTTATCATACATAGGCCTACCATGCATAATAAAACATGACAACGCCATTCCCATAAGATCACACAAATAACTTTACTAGAAATCCACCACCATCTACTATAATAGGAAAGGACACAAACATTCACAAGCAGTCATGCAAAGTTTTTATGTACATGTGCAAGTCCAACACACAATTCCAGCATATACGTAGGCTCTGCCTACACATCACATCATCAAGTTTCATATCTGACCTAGAATAATAGCCTTCGCCTACATACTACAACAAATTAAATTCCATATCAATGTTATGTGTATAACTATGCACAATCCGCCCACAACTAAACCATAATAACTGGCATATGCCATATATTTTCAATAGTCAATTATTAATAAAAAAGAGGTCACCGCCCTTTCAGCAAGTAAATCTTTAGGAACATTTCATAAATATGTCTTATAAGTCCAGACAGTCCAAGTTAACCTGCTTCAAAGTTCAGGTGAGCAACAAAAATAAATGCAAAATGACATAGTCATGACAAAATAGTAAGTCAGCATAAGATACTAGAAGGGGCTTTATTGAAAATAAATCTTTATGCCTCTAGCTCCTTCCCATGGCTCCTGTCGAGCCCCTCTTGGAAAACATAAAAATCATGGGAGTCTCAGTAAACACATAGATAAATTATAGAGTATAAAAGTAGTGTTTAAGAGACAATTAAGTAAAATTTAAAAGAGAGATATTAACTTGAGTGATATTTATATATAAAAATAAATAATTAAATCCTCCTATAACCTCTTTATTTTCTTCAACTAAACCTATATGGACTACTTAATAAGTAACACAAATAGGAGCAGTCCATGTAATTGGCATACCCCAAAGCCTTCCAACTGTGAGATGTAGCTCAACCAAAGGACATATAGCGTGAAATATCAATTATTTCTCTCTCCAACTAACATGGGGTCAAACTTAAATAAGTAAATGGACCTGGTGGTAATTAAATTTGTAATATGTGGCGTCGAATCAAATAAGCAATAGTGCTCTGAATCTGCATGGCAATAATATATGGCACTATTAGCTAGCTATGGAATGAGATTATATTAGGTGTCAAATTCTCATCCGTCACCGCCAAGCTCATGCGATTTTTTCGTTCCTTTATTATATATTTATCCGTTTACTCCCTTCCTCCTTATTTGATTGGCCTAGCTGGTTGGGAAGAGGGAAAAAAAGAGACAAAACAAAGAAATATGGGAAGAGATATGAAGAAGGAAGCAAGTAAAATAAAATCTCAATTGTCTCGCACACAAACTTCTTACCACCAGTCATACAAACTAGAAATTGAAGGATTATAAGGCATTAGGTTGCATGAAATCAAGTTGGAGAAGGACAAAGCATGAAGTGGCACTAATTGAGTGATATGTCTAAACATCACTGGAACTTTCCTTATTTCCACATTAACGCTAAGCAAAGTTTTAGCAAGTCCATTTCCTTCTTCCATCCAAATTGGGCCGAAGAGGTAAGTTAATAAGCGAAGAGAGAAAGTATATAGAATTTTGGAGAAGAGGCATTGAGCAGGAGGTGCCATGCAATGAAGTTAGGAAGCAAAATTTGACATAATTTTGGCTAACTGTTATTTGACACCTTGCCGCCACTCCTCTTTTCATTTGGGCTATATAATCACTTTGGATTAAAGCTCTTCCCTCCTTTTTTCTTGTGTGAACAAGCCATATACAAGCAAATAGGAAATAGAATTTGAAACCTCCTTAGACGCCATAAGAGAAAAGAAGAAGAATTATGCCAAATTACCCCTAGGCTACAAAACCTAGCCTCCCAAAAGCAGTGCCCTTCGTAAAACTTCTTCTACTCGCAAAGATCCAGACTCCCATGATATTAGAATCTAGAGAGGATAAGAGGGACATCTAGAGAGGAGGTACACGCGATTGGAAGGACTGGACAGAAGCTCCAAGATGAAAAATCTACTTAAAAACAAACTATAAGACCTCAGGGTAGCAATAATGTCCTTTTTCGCTTGTGCATATTATCATTCATGTGAATGACATGGTTGATGAATTCCCTTGCTGAGGCATGCTTAAATATGTTCTTTCCTTACTGTAAATATGGTGCCATATTCATGTTTTAAAAAGCTAAGCATGAATTACTGTAAGAAGAATACACACCATCCCTAGTCAAAGCATGTTTTTTATACTTGAAATTGTATGGTCATTTGAATGAACTATTGCACGTGGAAATGGCTTGAGTCGGAACTTTAGAATCTCACCCTTCCAAATGTCATCCAACCCAGATCCAAGTGCATGAAAGAACAAGAACAAGAATGTGGGGAATTTAAGAAGAAAACTGACATGATCTGGAACTGGTTCACTACAAAGGCATGGCAGGACTCATTAATTTAATAAACTGTACTAACAGAGCCAAACCAACGTTCTGTTTAATGATTTTTCCTTTTAGAGGACTTTATAAGCTTTACAAAAAGCCCAATATGAGATTAATTGGAGCTCTATAACTTGGGGTATGA